GCGGCCAGAGGTGGTGGAGTGCAAAAAGCTTCCTACTAGCGACCGAAGGGAAAGGAGGGAAAAAAAAAAAAACTTTGTCCCGCCTACTGAGCATGCCCGGCTTTCTTTCCTCCTCCCTCCTGGCTTCCACTCCTGGAGGAGCCGCGGAGCGGAGTTGTTTGTGCGGCGTCTGTCTGGCTCCGGATCCTTTTTCGTCATCGCTCCGGGTTTTAAGAAGCCTGAGAGGAGGGTGGAGGCGGGAGCCGGGGACTCGCACACATCTGGCTCCAGTTTGGTTCCCTCCCTCCATCCAAACCCCTGGATTAAAAATGGTGGGGGGCGGGGGCGGAGACGTGGAGTTGAGGAGAGGCCCAGAGGGGTGCTTGGGCTAAGAGGACCTAACTACCCTCCACAGTGGAACGGGAGGGTGGGGACGGCACAGGTGTTTTTGCCAACGTTCTGAATGGCAGAGCTTTTCAATTTCTCATGAATCTTGGGATCTTTTTTGTCTTGCTAGCGGAGTGGGCATTTTTGAGGAATCATTATTTGTACACTTATAAAAAAAAAAAGGAAATACAACACTGCCCAGAAACGTTTGCATTTCAGTAGAAATGATGGACTTCTTCGGGTTAAAAGGTAAGCTCAAATACATTTTAAAAATTATTTAGTAAACCTCTCTCTTGTTGAAGGATGGCCCTTATCCCAGGCCCTTGAAGGCCATAGTTAGTGGGCCAGAGGTTACCAGCCCAGTGGGCCTTGGCACAGATGAGGAGTAGTTTCTGGATCCCCCCTCCTCCTACCCTTTGTCTTTTAAATGATTTTTCTTGTCTTGGCCCTGGGACCACGGGTAGCCCCCACGCTCTCCAAAGCAGCATTGTCTGGCAGTGGATAAGGCTGGCTTCCTTGGCATGCAACCTGTGCCTTTGGGCAGGGATCTTTACTTGGTTTGATGTTCTGCTGTTGCAGTTTTGAGATTCTTTATAGTGTTGGAACAAGGAGCTCCACACATTTACTTTACATAGCTGTTCAGTATTTCCTTGGGGGTGGGGGAGGGGGTCTTGCTATAAAGCAAGAGGTAGTCCCTGCCCCTTCCTGCTCTGCAAGCACAGTACACTTTCCACGCTACTGAATGTGCCAAGAGAATATGCAGAGATTTTAACCAAATAGCAGCCATTGAACAAATTAGGAGACTAAATGCCTCAAATGTAGTACACCTAAAGGGTATATGTATGCATTTGGAGAGCCACAAGTGTTCCAAAGATAGTATCACCTTGAGTCAAGGAGAAACTAGTGGTTTACCCTAGGCTTCATGCCTATCACAACCATGATCTTTGTGGACATGGATTAGGGTTCACCCACCTTTGATGCTGAGTGCCAGTGCTTAGTGCTGAAAAGGGAACTATGCAAGGAAGGAACACCTGGGTTTGTTTGTTTGTTTGTTTTGGCTAGCAGCCCTGAGACCTTGAGTGAGACCTTTAGCAATTCTTCAGTTTCTTTATAAAACACGGATAACAATCTTGTCTTTCTCAGGTTTTAAGGCCATTGAGAGGCTATGAGAAAGCACCCAACAAAGGAGCATCTCATTGTTTTCTAAATCCCCATAAGGCTAAGGCATCTGTCCTGTCCTCACCTTTGGTCATTGCTTTTCTCCTGGAGGTGCTGAAAGAAATCCCAGTCATTCCTGAACTTCCAGGAACAGATGTTTGTCCATGTCAAAATTTTCCATCCAATGGGCATCACTATGGCTCCAACCTCCAGTTTCAGAGTGTCCAAATGGCAAGGTGGCAGGTGAGATGATTATAAGTTTCTGCCGGTAGGCAAGTAAATCCGTGTCATCACCACTCATTCATCCAGCTCCCTGCTAATAGCAGTGAATGGCCCAGACGGCAGACCAGGCAGCCAGAGGAGCAAAGAAAAACATTCTAAAGTCCAGGTGTCACCAGCTCCCCACTTGGATGTCCTGATGCCAAATTCCAGCAGGTCCTTAGGTTCTCTGAGCCTTGGATACACCACCTGTGGGGTCAGGATAATACCCTCAACATACGGTTGCTGGGAAAAATAAATGGCTGCAGTGATCGTATGGCGTTAAGCAGCACACTGCGAATAGATGAATGGCAACACTTTCTCCTCTCTAGCCAGTTGTATTACTAAGTGCCACCCTCCTTCACTCATGTTCCTTCATGTTCCTTTAAAGAAATCCTTCCAGTTCTCTTCAGCCTCGTTCAACACCCAAAAGGGGCTTTTTAATGTAAATGTTCTTAGCAGGTCACCTCTACATCTTCCCCATCAATTGCTGCGACTCCTGCAGCTCCATAGAATAAATGGCGATATTGGGCGAATAACTCAGATATGTTTTTGATCTGAACATCAGGGCTTTATCGAAGTCTACTGAATTGTTACCAGAATAGCGGGTATCACGTATTTAGGGCTTTAATGACATTATCGAAGGAGCTAAATACCCACATCCGTGTTTCTCCCCCACAACCAGAAAAACAGGGGGCGGGCAGCTCTGAACACGATCGATTCAAGGATGTCGACTCTTAGTGAAACCTTACAGCTTCAAAAGTAGAGTTGTTCTTCTCACAACTTCACGCAAGCCCAGCGGAGCCCCCAGCAGGACCCCCGCCTACCCGCCCCTCCAGCTGGAGTCGTGGGCGGGGAAGCACCCCCAACCCGGGTTCTTCCGCCGGCCGCCTAGAAAGCCCGGAGTGCGGAACCGGAGCGACCCTCGACCGCCAAGGAACGGGCATGCTCAGTAGACCCGTAGGTCTGGTTTCACTCGGAAGCCAGCCGCAGCCCCCGCTCCCTACCGCCCCGCACGGGCTCCGGGAGAAGCGGACATTTTATCTTTCTCGACAGTCGGTTCTCTTTCGTGTTCTTCGCCCCTTCTCTGCGTCCTCCCACCTCATTTGGGTCCGGCAGGGGCCGCGAGTGTAGATCTCCCTGGGCTGGGTTTGGGAGTGGGATCTGATAAACCACTACCCCCGGCGCCCACGAGGGCGCGCGTGCCGAGCCGGGGTGTTTTGCGGGAGGATTCAGCTGTGCACTAAGGTTCGTGCGGCGCGGCCAGGCGGGCAGAATCTCCCACTGCCGCGGCGCCCTCGCTCCCCGCCCCGCAAGGCGCGCGCAGCTGCGCCCAGGCCTGTCCTCACCTCACCCCCATTCTGCCCCTTCGGTATTTCTCAATGACCGGCGGAGGACACTTCCGACTGGGGAGGGAGCGGGTATCATTAGCTTGGTTGGTTTATCAGTTCCTTCCGGTCTGCCATGAGCCCAGCCCTGCGTGCCCCTCCGCAGCGCCTCGGCGTCCCGGTGCCTTTATTATGTTTAAGTAAGCGGCCGTGTGTGCCAAGTGAGTTTGTAGCCCAGCTGTCTCTCCCAAGAGGGCGACGGGAATGGAAACCCAAGCTCTCGTAATAAAGGGGATGATGCAAACTTAGAAACTGACCCGGCGCCCGGGAATGGTGCCCCTCGCCTCCCTCCCCCCGGCGCGGGGCGTCCCAGTCGGGGCATGAATGGCTGGAGCCAGATTGCATAATCTACGTGGTATAAATAGCCGGCGGGCGGGCCCCTGACGCGCTCGCTGGTACCGTTATCGTGCCATATACTTCATGCCCCGATGCAGCTCACTCCCAGCTCATTTTCTCTTTCTGCTGCGCTGCTGGGATTTTAAGTAGCAGAGATGAAAGGCTCTTGTCCCTGCCTCCCTCCTCCCTTGAGGTCATATTATGAATGAAACGCCAACCTCGCTGCTTTCCGAGGTGCCCCACTTCAGGTAGGAGACAGGCTCAATGTCAAGTGCAGCGGTCCACCAAAATGTGTGTGTGTGCGCTGGGGAGGGAGAGAAAGCAAGTAGGAATGAGTGACGGGGCTGGGAAACCTTCTGGTCGAGAAAATGTAACCGCTTAGGGTTAGCCTCTGGAGTTTCAGTTTACACCTCTACTAGCCTCAGCCAATTTCAGAGCGGATTGTTCAAAGGGTCTTTCGACTGTGGCTGCTCCCTCTTCCAACACAGGCCGCCGCCCCTTTAGAAGTGCTCTTTCATTCGGAAGAGCTGGTTCCCTCTCCCCTCGGAGGCAGCAGACATCCCTGACTATAAGAGCCCTGGGGACTTTTGAGGTTCGGGAGAAAGGCTAGTGAAACGAGTCAGTTTAGCCATTTTCTAGTTCTAGAACCCTTAGAAGACTCAGCTATGTCCAAAGCGGAGGAAGTATAAAAACTTATTCTTTGCAACAAATATTTCACAAGTATGTGGTCATTTTAAAAATGAAAGTATGCACAGGGTTTTTCCCCCTTCTCTTAAACAAGTTTGAACGTATTTTCTCAAAGTAAAAATTACCAGTTCTTTGCCGATGGGTTTCTGGCGTATGAAAGGCAATAAATAGGCTCATTCTTTTTCAAATTACATGCCCATTACTCCAATCTGCACTCAAAAGTGTGGGTACTCTGTGAGGCAATAGGAATACGGAGGTGAATGAACCCAGGTCAAGTGGGGCAACAGGCCTGTCAAGAGTAGGGCAATGGGGTACCCCTCTAAAACCCTGAGCAAGCCGGTAGAGAAAGCAGGGCTCCAAGGAAAGGAAGGCTTTGGAGAAAGGAGTGTTTGAGCTGGATCTTGAGGGAGGGTGAGAGTGTTGATTTGATAAATGGGAATAGGGGACTCTGGAATAGCCCAGTGAACACAAAGGCCTTGAGGTGGGAAACTGTGGGGAGAGAGTGTGGGAGTGACAAGCCCTAGAAGGAGGCCACATAGGCCATGCTAAAGGACCTTCAACTATCCTGAAGTCAAGGAACCTTTGTAGCGGGTTCACAGCTGATCTCTGTCGGTCCCA